AGAAAATAATTGAAGAACACAAGTGGAGGTAGGCAAAAGTTCATAACATTATTGAATGAGAATAAATGAATCCAATGAAGTAAAAGTAAAAGTAAAAATAGAAGACAATTATGGCAATGAAGGGTTCGAATTATTCCCGGCATACGTATGGTGTTGTACTTGTTTTTATTTTTAAGTGAAATTCTATTATGCTTTGGAATTTTAATAATTTTAAGTTAAAATGTTTAGAAAATTAAATCATGAATGTTGAAACAAAAATAATGTCAAGAAAAATTAATGAGAAAAAAAATTAGGGGTTAATCGTTCTTAAACAATTTAATAAAGTTGCAGACTCAAATTATGAGTCTGCAAGGTTGGAGGAAAAAAAAAATTTGAGTCTTAGAAATACATGAATAGTTTATTTTGGAGGGTGAAAATTTGAGTTTAACCCCAACATAGTTGGATATGACCTAATGTATTACTTTATTTTTTTGTTGTTTTTCTGTGGTTTTTTTTTTTTTTTTTTGTTGAGAAATTCTAGGATTGCATACATAATTCAGCCAAAAAAGCCATTAGCCACAAGGGGCCAAAACAAACTAACCACAAAGGGTGATTACAATAACGGAGCGGTCGAACAACAAAATTAAGACAATCTAGTGCGCCTCCACTAACAATCACGCAGAATCGAATAAACTCTAGCATAGGCATCCCAACTAAGATTGCAAACTCAGAATAATCAAAAATAGACAAAGCTTGAAAAAACCAAGCCATAACAATACAAATAAAACTCTCACAAAGGAGGGAGAGGTGAAAAGCTCTCACAAAAGGAGAGATGAAAACTCACAGAGAACCTACAGAGTCTCTGTGACTTATTCCGAACATAAAGAAACCGCAAAAAAGATGGTGGTAGAGATCCGACGTCAAAACGCAGGTAGAGATCCAACGCTGAGACGCAATCGCCTATGATGGTTGGAGGAAAATCAGAACAAATCACAATCGCCTATGAGAGAAAACCATTTGTCTCTGGAGAAGAGAATAAGGAAGAGAAAGAGGGGAGAGGAGAGGAAGAACAAGGGCCTCCTCCCCCCTCAAAGTGAAAACGGCTCTAGGAGGGTTTTTTGGGAGAGATGGTTTTTTTCTCTGCTAGGGTTTCATCCATGTTTTTAGTGGCATTTAGGTGAGTTTCACATGTCAATGAAGGAATAATAACTCATTTATAAGTATTGAAAGACAGGACATCAATTATCATATAATGAATGATTCCACTACTAATATCACCTAGATTTTTTGTGATAAAACCCCACATCTATTAGGCTTTGTAAGTGATTAAGTTAGGGATAATATTGGTATTGTTAGGGTCAGTTTGGCATTGTTGTGCTGTGAAAATAATTGATATCAGATTTGCTGTGAGAGAAAGCAGTTTGGCGTTTGGTAAACTTTTTGTTAAGAGAGTGTTGTTAGTACTGATTCCCGCATAATCATTAAATTCAGCGCCTCTTCGAAACTGATTCTCGCATAATCAGAAAATGAAAACACTTCATTACCTACTTTTCCTTATAACTTTCTCTCACATTAATTTTTAAAAATAAGTTATTTTCTCATAGTTTACCAAACAGGCTGGGCTTCCCAATTTTTTTTAAAAATCACTTATCACCCCAAATAAAAAATGTCAAACGGGCATAGTGGGCCGCTAACCTATCTCTCTGAATGAAGATAAAGACCCGACAAATTCACGTATTTCTTAAGAAAGTTCATGTATTGTCCTTTTGATAAATGATTCATGCATTTATGGGGTAGATAAATGAACCCATTAATGGGTGGGTGGTTGTCCTGTTTTGAAAGGTGATGGATAGCTAAAATAATTTGTACCTGCAAATAATGCAAACCTCAGGTTCCAACTAGTTGAAAAACACAGCTGAGCAGAGCAGCAAAAACCAGGATGGTAAGTTACAAAAACCTAAATTGAAATTTGAGATCCAATTCTAATAGTTTACATAAAAAAAACTCATAAACTACAAGGCCTTCTTGGACCAGTTGGTCTTAGAGGGCCGGGTCACCCCTTGTCCTTGCACACTTGATGCAATCTTCTAATATCGTCTTGGTATCATATTTGTATACAAAACCCTTCTCAATAAGCTTTGTAGAACCCAAGCCAATTTCTCTTGTTGGTCCATCCAAATACCTGAAACCCAATTCCGGATTCTTGTTGTTTAAGCTTAAAATTTAATCTTAAAAAATTGATATAGCTAAGACAAAATCAAGTAAAAAGATCAGCTACTTACTCTGGCTTCACTTGAAGTTTGGGGTAATGTTGCTGGTAGTAACTAGCAATTTCTGCAGATGAAACAGACGAGCTTGCGCATAAAAATCTACCGTTTATCGAAGGATTCTCGATGCAGAAGATATGAGCATCGCAAACATCATCGATGTGTATGATTGGAATTTTCCCAAGTAATTCCTCTAGAAATCTCAGTGATTGGTACTCAATTGCACTGCTTGTAAGCTGACAAAGAAACACAGCAACACTCAAGGGTGTGAATGACAGAAGTGCATCCCCTCCCACAAGGCCACAGGCCAGGGTCACAACTTCAAGTCCGGCATTTTTGTTGTTCCCATAGCTCAGAATTTCTCTCTCCGCCAATGTCTTTGAATCTACATAGGCCTTCAATTATATACCACAAAGATTCAATTTATAAAAAATTTGAGGGGCTACTAGTAGGGAAATAATACTGATAATGATCATACAACTTTACCAATACAAGGAACCATTAAATTATCAGTTGGCATAACTTTTGAATTTAAAGGAGCAAATAGATATGATTAGGGCTAGGAGATTTGTATACCTTGAGATGAACATTAGAACAAGCAAATGAAAGATGGAGAGGGGTCCAGCATGTTTCATCCATGAAGTCCCCCAAACCACTCCCATCCTCTTTCAGTGGAGATGCAGCAACCACAGAAGCTGTGTAGATTAGCCTCTTAACTGTTCCTGATTTCAGACAAGACTCTGCAATGCTCTTTGCCCCAGCTATAGCAGCTTCAGTTATGTTCTTGTACTGCTTTGTAATTTCGTCAGATATATATGTGTGTGTGAAACTAAATAAGAGTATAAGTGATCATGAAGGGGGCCAACCTGGGAGTTTTCAGTGTGTTGTAAAGGAGTTGCTACGTGGAAAACAAACTCACAGCCTTCAATTGCATGCTCAAACTCAGTTGGGTTATAAATGTCAGCTTCAAACAGCACAAGCCTCGCATCTGCATCAGGAAGGCTCTTCAGAAGGCTCACCTTGGACACATCATCTGTGAACATTTCACAAATATATTCAAAGCAATTTGTTTTTATGAGAAACAGAAAAACAGAGAGAAAATAGAGAGGAAACACATACTGTGTTGTCAAACAGTGAATCAAGACCGCATCGTGCTTGCGCTTAATCAATGGTTCTAATTCACAGTTTGACAACCTAAAATACTCGCAGTAGAATCAGTTTAATCAACAACTGACAATTTTATTTTATTTTATTTTTTTTTTCTGTGTAGCAATACAGACATACCCAAGTTTCTGAGTGTTGCATGGACAGTGTAGCCTTTCTGTAAAAGCTTCTTGACAAGCCAATAACCAATGTAGCCTGCACCTCCTGTAACACATACCTTGCAGCCAAAACTACTCATCCCCATGGCGAAACCTGTGAGTTTACCAATTGCTGGTTTCTCTCATTCTCCCGTCAAACACCGCATTATATAATAACATACAAGGCCCCTCGCCGGCCCCGCAAATATATCAGATTACGATTTAAACAGTTTAATTAAATTAAATTAATCCCACCCTACGAGATGAATCAGTTTAATTAAATTAAATTAATCACACCTTTCGAGTGTGGAGACACCTCGTGGTACTTAAATAAAAATAATTTAAAAAAAAGTCACTCTCAACTGCAGCTTCAATTGACCAGTCAATGCGACGAAGAGATACAACCATTTTCAAAGACTGCAATACAAGCCCGCAACTACATATATTCCATCGACCTTTGAAATACAACCATTTTCAAAGACTACAATACAAGCCCTCAACTTTATATATTCCATCGACCTTCGAAATTTCAAACACTACAATACAACCATTTTCTGAGAGAGCGAGAGAAGAGTCGTGTTTTTTTTTTTTTAAGAAACTACAAAACATAGATGATGCTGCAACATGATCCTAAATTAATGCCCGAACTCAAGCCACACTGTGTGCAGCCACTAAGCTTTCCATTGGATTTGCATTTCATTTGAAAATAAGTACTTGAATTAATAACAAGATCCATATGAACCTTCTCTCTCTCGCATCCATTAAAATATAAAATATTGTTCCTGAAAATATTTGCCAGCATTATAATAACAGAAGATGCAGACCGGTCCGTTGAACGGCTTTTTATAAGTCGAAAACAGGGAAGATCATCCTCCAATCCTTTTCCTTACGATTTCTTAGGGATATGATTTTGAGTTTTCTTTTTCTGAAATAAAATAAAATAAAATTAGATTTGGGAAACAGTATTCAACTGCTGCACTCGAACTTTTCCTCATATGTTCTTGGAAGTTCCAACTTTATACTAGCCATGAGTTAATAACACTACATAGTCTAAATCAAATAACATGTTTACTCATCATGAATAGCTACGAGCGAAAGCAGAATTACTTCAACTCGTGATTTCCCCACATCTATTAAACATTTACTAATATAAGAAATCAAGATATATATTCGTCCAATCAACATTTATTGGTGCATATAGTTGTCAGTAGCGTAACGTCTTTTGCTCATGCATACGAGAGCAGATATGCGTTTTGTTACATTTGGCAGCTCCAGCCTCCAGTACAGCGGCTAGCAGTAGATCAAAATATATATCTTTTTGGGTTTGGTTGACACTTTCCAAGTAGTTTCTGGAAATAGAAGGGAAAATTGGCCCAGCGAGGGGGAACTTTCATCTTTGAACCCAATCTTGGATTCTATACCTTTTTGGGCCAAAACTGAGTTTGACCTTGGAACCAAATGAAATTTGTGACCAACCAAACTGGCCCAACAGAGATTGAGAAAAAAAAAAAAAGAAAAAAAAAAGGGTAATTCCTTTCCAACATGTAAAATAATAGTTGCTCCATGTGATTTGCCGATTGGAAAAATTCTGTGCTGAAATAATGATTTGCTGGTTGCATAATTTTCTTTAGAGATGATCATTGAAATATAAATTGTTTTTATCGTTAATTTATCTTATAGAATAATTCTAGAACGAATGTGTGCATTTTTGTTGTAAGTACTGCTATTTCCACCCACCTTTCTTATTTCTCCACCCACCTTATCTTCAAAAATTTAATGACATTTACCTCATTGTAAAATGACTTATGAGGACAAATTTACAACTCTCTCTCTCACATGCACCCACCACACCCTTTTTTTTTTCTTCCCAAAACCCACACCCATCTCCAATCAATTTAGGGGGCTGTACAGCCACCTTTGTCACTAGTTCAGGTGTTGGTTTCGGATGGTCTTCCTAGACCTCCTTAATTGTAATGCTTTGTGGGGAATTCCACTTAGCTGGGGCATAGCGCCTCCAAATGAAAATTCCTCTTTTGAATGCTCTGTACTTTGGATTTCGTCTAGCGAAGGAGAAGTGAGGGTTGCGATGGGAAAATCAAATTGATGGTGAGGATGGCTGCGGATGGGAGAAGGAGAGGTGGATGTGGGTCTGATGGTCATGGTGTTAACTATTGGGTTTTCACCAGATAAGGAGGTTGAGAGGGGGGCAATGGCAACTTGGGGTAGGGGTATTTTAGAAATAATGGTGGGTGGAAAGATAAGTTTGAGTTTTTTTCAAATTGACATGGTGGATGGGAAGATAAGATGAATGAGGAAATAAGAAAAATGGATGAAAATAACATCACTCTTTTTCCTTTAACCGGAATATCCTTACTATAAAAAGACTTGTAAATACGAAACTAAGTTAGCTAGAAAGGATTTGTTAAAATTGCAACCATCCCCCCTCCACCACCACCATCAAAGAAAATTAATATTGGAGTGGACTTAGAGATGTGGGGAAAAATAAGATAAAGTGGAAAGAAGAAGAAGAAAGGATAATGTGTCACCCAATTGGTAAAGTACACGAGGAGATAATTTAAAGTTAGAGAACAAATTTATTTTATTTTTCTCAATAAAAAAAGGCAAATCCAATTATTCTAAACTTTTGACCCTCCATAAAGCTTCATCATGATGGCATTTTAATTACCTACCAAATTTCAATCTAAGGTGATGTGTAAATATCTTCTAGATGAAATCATGGTAATGGGCCTCAGCTATTGAATCATTATGCTCTCTTTGACGGCTCCCCAATAATGAAGCAACTCATTCCATTTGCTAGACTTTCTACTTTGATGGGCATCTTGAAAGATTGAGAAACCTATAAGTCAATATCATAACCCTTCAAAGGACTATTAGATTTGCAAAATACTACCTGCTTTTTGACAAATATACAACTATTACAGGTTATTAATACGAGAATTGATCATCCACATGCACGGAAGTGATTAATAAACATTATAGAATGACAGAATAGACTAATATCAATTACAAAAATACACGTGAGTTGAAAATCAATGTTCTTCTTAATAACTAAAGGAGAAGCAATTGAAGTTGACCTCAATTAAATACAGCCGAGTGCAACTCTAGTAGAGTAATTGACCGGGCAATACAAACAAAAAGGAGATGCAATTGTACATAACACAGTCGTATTTTCTATCACATGTGTCTTTTCTAAGGTGAACCATATATATCATTATCATCACTTATTCGTCGGCCTGCACAATCATAATTACTTTTTCCTATTTTGCATCAACCATAATTACTCGATTGTAGCTTAGCAAAAATTGGATTCAAATTCTCTGCTATGATTTTCTCTGCCATGATCTGCTTTACTTTCACTGTAATGCTGCCACATCATTAAAAAAAAAATCCAAAGTAGAGAATATAGCACGTGTATTTTAGAAATAAATAACATATATTTTATATATTTTTTACACAAAGTAAAGGCAATAAACAACGTTCTCTCCAATCAAATTGAAGCATGGTTATGGTCATGGTGAGATAGAGAAAGAGAGTGGCTGGGTGGGTGCGCCTACATCCAGGTCAATCTGAGAGAAATGAGAGTTTTTTTTTTCTCTTTTCATATTTTAGTTTTAAACTTTTAATTGATTAATTAATATTTTGATATTATTTGTATTTTTCAGTTAATTTTTTATATATATATATTTACTTTCACTGGGGGTAAAGCTGATGAGAGATGGAGAAGACCAAGAATAGGTCAAATTCGATCAAAGGTGGAACTGGTTGTTGTCCAAAAGTTTGACAAATCAGATAATTACTAAGTGATGAGGAAGAAAAAGAAGAAGAAAAAAGATTTGTCTTTCAACAGGACAATACACGAAGAAGAAGAAGAACAGAGGACAGAAGAGGAAAAACAAAAAAAGATGACAGAACACGAAGAAAAAGAAGAAGAAAAAACGACTTTAGACGTTAAATATCCCGTTAGTTGGGTGTTAGGTTTTTTTTCCCTTTTTGAATTAAGAGTAAATTAGGTGCAGTTTCTAGGAGGTCATTTTCCTCTTTAGACAATTACAATAATGCCATTGCTCTTGCCTTTCTCTTTCTCCTTGCCTTTAAGCATTGTGTGACATAATGAATAGGAAAGCTATAAGTTAAAAAGCTCATCTTCTAGAATATATCACCTTTGAGTTTAGAAGAGATTTAAATATCGTCATTGACTTTTACTATGTCTCATTTATTTCTCAATATGATCACCTAAAAATCGTTCGTATATATTTCTCGATATGAAATGACTTTCATTCAATAACCATATAGCATAATACACTGAAAAGAAGACAAAAGGATGTGCAAGCTTGAGCCTCTATAAAAAAACCTTTAGCATAAAAAAAAAGCCTCAAACAAATTGTCCGTATTAAAATTCATGTATTTTTCTGTCCAATCAAAATTTTGAACATTAAAGGACTCTCATACTCTAACTCATGTTTTCGGTTTTTGCTAAGAATTCTTATATATTAGTAGTAGCTACTAGCTAGACAACCACATGTGATGTGGGGATTCATACTTTTAATTATGTATTTTACCTCCCAAATATTAATTGCAAAGGACTTGCCCTACCTTCAATGGCAGCCAACCCTCATCGCAACTTGAGTGCCATGACTTTATTGTGATGTAACAAATTTCTGCCAAATTGGGTCATCCCCTTGGGCCATTACTCTGTGTACCAATATTAAGGCCGCATCCATCTCACCAACTCCATAGATTAAACATGAAATGCTTGTTCTATATATGCTCCATGGTATCTCACAAGTATTATACTAACATGAAAGGAAAGATAAAAATAAAGAAAAAACATAGGGGGTAGGGGGATGCACGAAGAAACTAATTAAAGACTAAATTTTCAATTGGAAAATTGGGTTTTCCACTTCGTCACCACATGAGCGAGTGCCCTTGTGGAAGCCCCATCCTCACTCAGAGCTTTAGCGGCGGCATCTTTCAGGTCCTTCATTCGGTTTCTGAGCCGCTTACCGTCCTCGCCTTCCATGAGAGCCTGAACCACCAGAGCAATTTCCTCCCTACCCACCAGCCCATTTTCACTGGCTTTGGGCCTCAATGCCACTTTTATATCCTCAGTGAACATCACAGCGTTCATTTTCTGCTCGGCGTACAGCGGCCAGGCCACAAGAGGCACACCATTTACAACGCTTTCCAAGGCCGAGTTCCAACCACAATGGGTCAAGAACCCTCCTGTGGACATGTGGCCTAGAATCTGCGCCTGTGGGGCCCAATTTGGGACCACCAGGCCCCTCCCCTGGGTCCTACCCAAAAATCCTTTTGGCAAAAACTCCAATGGGTCGTTTTGGCTGTGAACGCTGAAATAGGTGGCATTGGCAGCCTTGTCGCTTGGGCTCCTCACCACCCACAAGAACCTCTGCTCACTCATTTCCAACCCAAGAGCCAACTCATTGATCTGGTCGTACGAGAGGGTCCCGCCACTCCCGAAGGAGACGTACAGCACAGACCCACGTGGCTGCTCATCCAGCCACTTCAGACACTTGGAAGACTGCTCGTCCAAAGCGTTACTGAACTCCATTTTCACGAGCGGTCCAACCGGGTAAACCGGCGGCTTACCCGGTTCGCTCCCTTGCAAAGCTCTCAAAGCGCCGGGCTCCAACTCCGCGAAGCTATTCACCATGATACCGTCGGCCAAACGGTACCGTTTCGAGTGGTGAAGGACCCATTTGTAGGCCTCGTCCTTACGATCCTGAACCGGGTCGAGCAAATCGCGACCGTGAATCGGAATGCACCCGGGGATTGTGACCGGCTCCGCAAGCTCCCTGTACTCGCACGACGTCGTTTCGTCGAGCTTCGGCAAGTAGAGGAAGAGAGACAGCGCCATGGCCGTGGAGGGGAAGAAAATGTACTTGGAGAGGTTGAATTCTTCGGCGACGTCGAAGGCGTCGGTGCCGAAGAGATCAACCACGAGCCCGACGAGGTTTGCGCGGGAAATCAAGGACTTGATCGCGTCATGGAGGGAGGTCAGGGACCGACTGACGGTGAGGGAAATTAGTGTTTCGATTTTGGAGCCCTGGGGAAGATCGTCGAAGCTGACCGACGGGAGGAACACGTGGTCAATTGCGATTGGGAGGGCGTCGAGGACGGATTTCTGGGCCTTCGTCGGAGGGCCATCGCAGGGGACGATGAAGGTGACAGTGAAATTGTGGTAGTGGACGACTTGCTTGGCGAACTCGGCGAGTGGGATGAGGTGGCCCATGCCCGGACTCGGAAGAATTGCGATGTGAGGTGGCCGTGGTTGTGCTTGCGCCATGTTTGGCAAAGTGCTTTTTGGTGAAGCGCTTTTGGGAGGGAAGGGTGGTATATGCTATATTTTGTGGGAATGTGATGAGAAAGAATGATGTGGTGCTGCTGCTTTATATAGGTGGGATGAGGTGTTTTGGAAAAGGCTAATGCAATTTAATTATTTTCTTTTTAGTGAGAGAGAGAGAGAGAGAGAGAGAGAGAGAGAGAGAGAGAGGGATTAATTGTTAATTGGGATTATTAGGGAGGCTAGTTTCTGGAGTTTAGTGGCGGTTTGTTGTTGTTTGGTTGTGGTTTGTGGCAGTCGTTGTGGAATTCTCTTATGGGGGATACTGAGAATATTTGTGTAATGGGTTGAGAGTGTGAGAAGGGTACGGCTGTTTCTAGAGAGGTAGAGCTTTCTTGGAATGGTCAACCATGCACTCAAACACATGTGTGAGTGATGTCAATTCATACGTAAGGCTTATGTTATCAACTTTATATCCTTTCTTTTACCGTGGAAGGAAAATATGACATCTGAAATGGAAAATACTTCTCTCATTATTATGTAAGTTGGAATTCTTATAGGATTCGGTGGAAGGAGAAATATCTTCTCACAGAAATAAGACAAACAATATTCTCCTATGAAAGAATATTAAGTTCAGTCGCACGTACCAATTTATAGTATCGGATACATTATCAAATAAAATTTGAACAATTATCCTATAAATATGACCAAATAGACAATCTACCAAATATTGTATATGATCATGTAATTTGTAACGCTAATTTCCTACTTAATTTGGCATTTACGATTTGAAATTTTATTTCGAGAAAAGTTTAACGAAGATGACAATTGTTCGAACCACAGTCTACCCCTCGATCAACAATTGAAAACAGTTGATGCACAAAGCATATAATTTTTAATTTTATTTCATGAAATTATCATGTAGCAAAAGACCCAACCGAGGTATCTAAAGACCACATAAAAAATGTGGTCTTTTGGGGAGACTAATAATTGAGTCATCGTTGATATATTATTAAAGGAGTTAAAGACCACATCCGTATTGATCAATGGTCATGTTTGGCCTGACAAATTAATGTGTATATATATATTTTTTAAAATTAATATAACCAAAATGTTTTCTTTTTGTTGAACAACCCAAATGAACGTCATTTTTATGACATGTGGTTTTAAGAGAAGCCTTAGCATTTTAATGAGCTATTAGTTTAGTTGTATTGTTTTTAACAATATTGAAAGAGATTTCAAATTGGATTCTTTAGTCTAAAAAATAAAAAAGATTATAACAATAACAATACTTCTTTCACAAAAAACAAAAAAATTCCACATCCATGAGAAGGGTTAAATTCTTGCTTAAAATCTTCTCACTCCTCCAAATTATGAAGGCAATATATATAGATTTTCTTCAATATGGACGTGCGAACGTTATTATTGTGCGGACACCATATATTTTCTATTACCTCTCCACACTTTTTTTTTCTAGCGTTTGCACAGTAATAACAACGTGCAAATATCCGAATAAAGTAATAACTATATACATATATTCATCATCCCCTCCATTATCTCCGTAAGTTATTAAAACGCTTCATTTTCTCCTCTAATAGATATTTTGTTGACAAAAGAAAAGCACAATAATTGCACCACTAAGGAGAGATTATTTAGTTAGTTCGAGAAAAGCTCACAAACATATGATGAGGAAGGTTATGTGCCAATCAAACTTGGATAAGCTCAAACATATATGAGAAAAGTTGGGCCAATGAAAATGGAATAATACGTACCTTTTATCAAACACATGATTAATGTGTCAAATTCCAGTGGGGTGCGTCTTCACGTTGGCATCAACCTTCAATTTCTTTTTAACACTACTTTTGGATGGTTTGTGAGGTGATATGGTGTGCGCATGACATGATGATATATAGTTTTTTTTTTTTTTTATGTTCTTGATTTATAGGATTTTAATGAGTTTGTGGGTTGTGCCTGATTATCTTTAGAATAATTTAATTTGTTGTTGCATTTGATTATGGGAGAAGATTTATCCATAATTGGCACCATAGTGATTTTGTACTTATTTATGTTCCTCTTATCAATAAAATACTATTGCTCTTTATAAATAAATAAATAAATAAATAAAAAGACGATTAAGAATGTTTAAGTACATATCATCAAATATATGTGCGTTAATACTATTTTTTTCATTAATTATTGAACATGGGACGAACATGGAGAAACTAGTCTTTAGCAATCTAATTGCGCATAATAGCGAACCAAGAACCTAAACTGACAATAATGGAAACAACAACAAAGGGGCAGATTAGCAAAACTCCTTCAAATGCGTGGTAAACTTGATTTAGAGGAACTAAGAAATTTTAGAAGGAGAGTTCTGGAAGAATGATTGGATTGACAAATTAGCAAAAGGAGGTGAGGGGAGGAAAGGGAAAGCAAAAAGAAGTACTTCTCCTTCCTCCTCCCCTTCAGTCACCACAAGAGACTTTGTATTTTGAATTCAATAGAAATATCTTTTTGTGTGATGAAAAAGGCGAAAAAGAAATATTGAGATACTTCTTCGAAGCTAATCAAGTACAACTAAAAGTGCTACGATGTTTTGGAAGTCACCAAAGAAGACTTTAAATTGAGGAAAATAAATAGACCGCACTGAATTAATTAATATTAGAAATGAAATGGGGTTGAAATAATCAAAGCAGTGATGACCTTATGATGATGAAAGTATGACGCTAAAAGAAGTTCCAAATTTGATGTTGGAGTCTTTCGCAGCAGCCCTCGGATCCATCGTTGTGGAGGCTGTGGATAATGATTAAGATATTGCTTACTCACCAACAAAACATTATTAAGATTATCATATTAATTAAGGTTATTAGACGTGGGGTCATTATCATCATACATCGATTAGGTTCTAATTTACTGTTTAATGCTACTTTAATAAGAAATTTCTCCATCAGTTTTTTTTTTGAGTTTGAATGATGGGTACTAACTGCATAGGTGTCGAACAATTGTGGTCAGTTTTTCTTTTTGGATATATATATATATATTTTTTTGGAAATCCAGAACTATCCCCCTCCATTTCTAAACATTATTTTATCCTTAATTGTGATGGATGAGTAGGGGAGTTTACAAGTAAGAAGAGCACGCGTATACGAGATTAGAAAATGAAAATAAATCCATCCTCAACTCATATCTAATCACCTATTAATCTTTAATCTAATGATTTTTGTATTCATTTGTTTGAGGGACGTCTTAATATTTGACTCGCATGATGATATATATTTGTGATGAGTTCGATACTTAATTGTGGCTAACATATCTTGTAAATATGATATTGTTTGTAGGAGAAAAAAAAAAAGCCTATATCTTATTATCAATATGCTAAACATAATAGGGCATGGCAGTGTTTGTTTTATATAATGGGATATTTCCAACGTTGGGAACGATAGAAATATCACTGGATCAAGAGTTAGCTAATACAACATATTGATTGATACACACTAAGGTAATTATATTCGAATAGTACAAACAGGTTGCGAATTACATTAAGCATGAGTACCACATTTCAAGCTCCCCATAATATAAATTATGAAATGGAGAATGGAAATGGAAAATCAACAGCACCCTAATTACTTCTTGTGTTTCTTCCACTTGATCACTAACTCAGATAGTGACTTTGTAGAAGAACCCTCTTCGCTCTTTGCCTTCACAGCAGCTTCCTTCCAATAATTCATTTGATCACGAACCCTAAACCCTTCTTCCCCTTCCATTAGTTCCTTCACAACCCTAGCAATCTCCTCCCTTCCCACAATGCCATTTTCATCAGCTTTGGGCCTCAATGCCACTTTTAAAACCTCACTCAACACAATTGCATTCATTTTCTGCTCTGCATACAAAGGCCAAGCAATCAGAGGCACACCATTCACAATGCTCTCAAGGATTGAATTCCATCCACAGTGACTTAAAAACCCACCAACTGAGCCGTGGCCAAGGACCTCAGTTTGTGGTGCCCATGATGGCACCAAAAGACCTTGCCTTTTGGTCCTCTCCACATACCCATTTGGTAGGCACCTCAAAGGGTCTGTTTGGCTATGGACACTAAAAAATGATGCATTTGAAGCTTTGTTATTTGGGCTTCTCACAACCCATAAAAATTTAGTCCCACTCATTTCAAGACCTAATGCCAATTCAGTGAGCTGTTCAGAAGAGAGAGTACCTCCACTCCCAAATGACACAAACAAAACAGACCCCGTTGGCTGATCATCCAACCATCTTAAACACTCTAACCCACCAGCCGTTTCCGCCCAACCACATGAACCGGTCTGTATAAGCGGTCCAATTGGGTAAACCGGTGGCCTACAAAGCTCAATATCATCTTGCAAAGCCTTTATAGGATCTGGCTCCAATTCCATGAAACTATTCACTATAATTCCCTCAGCCAAACCAACCCTTCTCCCATGGTGAAGAAACAATTTGTATGCTTCATCTTTTCGGTTCTGAAATGGCTCTGGAAAATCTCTACCACAAATTGGTGTGCACCCAGGTAACTTCACTGGTTCAGCCAAGTCTCTGTATTCAGAAGAGACCAAGCTGTCAAGCTTAGGCATATAAAGTAACAAAATTAACCCCATAGTCATAGAGGGAAAATATAAGTAAGGTGACACATTGAACTCATGTGCAACATCAAAAGCGTCCGTGCCAAAAATATCAACCACCAATGCTACCAAGTTGGCATTTTTAGCTAAGGACTCGAACACGTCACGAATCGAAGAAATCGAGCGTGAGACAGCCAGGGTTATTTTTGTTTCTGCTTTGGTTTCTTGTGGTAGGTAATCAAAGGAAATTGGAGGGAGAAAGAAGTAGGCTGTGGATTGTGGAGGTAGGGTCTGAAGAATGGAAATTTGGGGTTTGGGTGGATGAGACCCAATTGTTGGGATTATAAATGTGATGGTGAAGTTGTGGTGGTGGACAAAGAGCTTGGCTAGCTCAACTAGTGGGATAAGGTGACCCATGCCTGGACTTGGTATCATGACTACATGAGGTGTTGTGTATTTGTTTTCTTCCATTGTGGTTGTGAAGAATGATGGGGGAAGGTAGAAAGAATTATTATATAGTCTTTAGTGATGTGCAAAAGTCAATCTTGGAACAGAAGTTTTGAGTCCTGGGAAGTTCTGGAATTACAATGACTCAGGCAGTATGTGCTCAAGGGTTCCAGAGAGATTGACCATTTCGATGTTTTTTCAGTTGATCAATTGACTTTCTAACTTAATTTCTAGTCACTTCGTCGTCTAGAGCCTGCTCGAGGACAATTCCTTTATTTGTATTGGGTAAGTTATTTTAAATGATATACTTTGGATTGCTGAATTTTAATCTTTCAATTCTGTGTATTTTATCGAACTTGACAAATTTGATTATAGTGGATTTAACTAAGTATCACTGGCAAAGACACTGTAATACTATGTTAAACAACAACTAACTTGAAAATTTTAAAATGTCGACAAATGAACCAACGATGTATATAAAACTTACGCTTCCTTGAAATAGATACGAGGGCATTGCCCTACTAATTGTAACCGGTCATCTATGGCTGGTTATAATTATTTTATTTTCTTGTTTACTATAATCAATGATAGATTTGGAAATTTTAGAAGAGAAGGTTTTCAATTTTGCCACTCATAGTCACAGTCCCACTCGCTTAAAAATCTAAAAATAAAGTCCTGTGAGGACCTTTTTAATAAGGGCCCTAGGATGAAATCCAAATGAAATATTTTACCGAGCAGCAGCCCGAAGGCAGGCTGACGTCAGCGTGACGTCAGCAGGCGCAATTAATTTTTTTTTTTCCACTGCCACGTGACACAACCTGGTCCTTCCGATTTCCGATTTTTCATCCAATCCAACTGCCTGGAATTTTTCAAGGCAAAAAATTATGAAAAAAAATCGTAAAATTTTTTAAAAAACCCCAAAAAATACTGAATTTTTTTCTATAAATACCAATCCATACTCTTCACTTTTAACAACAAATTCACTTTCTACTCAATAATTTTTTCACTTTCAACTCTAAATTTTTTTCACTTTCAAGTTTAATTATTCACTTTCTACTCAATAATTTTTTCACTTTCAACTCTAAATTTTTTTCACTTTCAAGTTTAATTATTCACTTTCTACTCAATAATTTTTTCACTTTCAACTCTAAATTTTTTTCACTTTCAAGTTTAATTATTCACTTTCTACTCAATAATTTTTTCACTTTCAACTCTAAATTTTTTTCACTTTCAAGTTTAATTATTCACTTTCTACTCAATAATTTTTTCACTTTCAACTCTAAATTTTTTTCACTTTCAAGTTTAATTATTCACTTTCTACTCAATAATTTTTTCACTTTCAACTCTAAATTTTTTTCACTTTCAAGTTTAATTATTCACTTTCTACTCAATAATTTTTTCACTTTCAACTCTAAATTTTTTTCACTTTCAAGTTTAATTATTCACTTTCTACTCAATAATTTTTTCACTTTCAACTCTAAATTTTTTTCACTTTCAAGTTTAATTTTTCTCTATCAAAGAAACTATTAAATAAAATTCCTTTTTATTCAAAACATTCCATACATAAAAAAACTAACCACAACCAAAGCATTAAATATATAAAAACAAACAAACCACAACCAAAGCATTAAATATATATGAAATTGAAAATTTGAAAATTATCTGAAATTTGAAAAAAAAATTATCTGAAATTTGAAACCGAAAATCTTATCTGAAAATCTTATCCGAATATTTTATCAGAAAATCTCATCAGAATATATTGTCCAAATTAATTGTTTAGGTAAACAAATTTGTGAAAAAAACAAAAAATTGAATAGTACCCCCTTGCCATGGCAACTATAATGTAGAGCTCATGTGCCAAAATGCATCTCCAATGGAATTGATTTAGGGCCCTATATCATAAAGCCCCATAAGAACTGTCTCTAAATATGTGAACTTTGATAGAGCCCACGTGGGTCCCACATTTTGAAAATTTGAAGCATACATGAGGCTTTGTTTAATGTTTTACTACCCCTTTTGTTTTTTTTGTTTTCCATTTTCTTCTTTTTTGGTTTGATACTCTCTCTCTCTCTCTCTCTCTCTCTCTCTCTCTCTCTCTCTCTCTCTCTCTCTCTTTAGTTTTACTTTTAGAATTACTACTTCAATTTTTTTTAATTATAAATGGGGTAGAAATTTTGATTTTTGCTTTTTTTTTTAAATTATAATTTACCTTTAGAATTACTACTCCAAATTTTGATTTTGATTTTGATTTTGATTTTTTTTTTTGTAGAAATCTTCATTAAAAAAAATAGCTAACATAACATAAACATACAATAAAACAAAGTAAATTAAGAACAACAAAAATTAACACGTAAAACAAATTACATCATGAAAAATTCATAGAGAGCCTCAGATGTAGAGGCCCTCATTGTAGAAAAGATACTTTTAGAGCCTAGAATATTCCAACGAAGTTCTAAATAAGTCTCTATCCACCATTTTTAGAGTTCCATTTAGAGACCAGTTGGAAATGCCCTTAAAATAGAAGTACGGAAATAATTATAAGAACAAGAAAAATGAAAAAGTTGAATGTACCCAACAGAGCATGGTGTTGAAACAAAGCCCCAAAAAATTGGGGCCTCTTTAGGCTTTAAGAAGCCCAAGCTGAGCCCAAAACTGCTGGGGCCTATTTGTATAATGGAACTAGAGGTGTCAAACGGGACGGGCCGGCCCAGCACGGCACGAGCCCAGCCCATTTAAATGAGGCACGGCACGGCACGAGCACGAATATTAATGG